CAATATACAGTATTACATAATGAGTGTTTATTATTTGCAAACCGAATAATTATAGTGTCATAAACAAAAAGCTAGCGGAAGAATTATGAACAACAAGATAAAATTTAAACAATGCAAAAATAAAATAAAATAATGCAAAAATAAAATAAAATAAAATAATGCAAAAATGAAATGAAATGAAATAAATGTATGCTGCTTGTTTGGAAACCTTTTTTTTTTAAACCTGTTGGTCTTGGTTCTGCTCCTGAACTACAAATTCTGTATCAGATTTATAGATATATACACTTAAAACAAAACAAAATAAAATAAACAAATGATAAATTGTGTTAATAATTAATAAATTACATTTCCACATGACACTGTTTGATGCTGCATTTTAAATATTTTTGGTGCATTCTAAATACTCCTAATAAAAACTACTGAGGGATATGGGCCTAGATGGAATAACGATACAGAGTCTTATCATAAAATGACGATAATCCTTTTGTTGAGGTAAAGGTATCCATCTTAAGCAAAAGGTCATGAGGATAATCAGCATATTAATAGCTCCATACGTGCACAAAACAAGTCAGAGCTTTGGCTCCTGAGGGTAGGTCCTGTGTGCATCTGTGAGTGCTGATACATCTCTATTGTTTTGGTGTACATTTAGAAGCTGTAGGCCTAAATGATTAATAGTCAAATGTATCCAGTTGTCAGTTAGTTGCCAATACACAAAGACTGCAACTAAATCAACCTGTTAGACAAAGTGCAATATCTTTGGAGTAGCCTGAGGAAATAGGAATGGGAATCCACTCTACTAGAGTGTGAACCTCAACCTCTTTATTAGCACATCAGATCTATAACCAATACGATATCACCAACCAATGTATTGATAAGAATAACGGATTCCTATGTACAATTTTCGATAATTTGTTCATGTTTGTTTAAACATTTAAATTGTAATATGTAAGACACTTTTATTCTTTGACATGTCAACAAACATTTTATTTTGTGGGTGTCTGTGTGACCCACATAACAGCAGAACTCAGAATCTGAATCCAGCCCAAGTGTTTTTGTGCCACCTAGTGATAAGAATCAGTCATTATTCTGCACTCTTAGAAAACTGGTAAAAAAAGAAAAAAGAAAAAGAAAAGCTGTCACTGGGGCGGGTACCTTTTCAAAAGGCACAAATATGTACACTTTAGGAACTAAGATGTACCTTTAAGGTACCAACATGCACCCTTTAGGGGTAAGTAAGATACAGAGATTGAATTTGAAAAGGTACCGCTGCAGTGACAACTTTTTTTTTTCTTTTTTCTTTTTTTACCAGTTTTCTAAGAGTGCAGAATAATGACTGATTCTTATTAGTGTGCTGATCAGGATGATGCTACACATTAACCAAATGAAACTGAAAACAAATACATTTTTAATCCCTTGTAAATAAAAGACCTCAAGGTGATAAATCAAACAACAAATTATGTTTTTTTTGTAATTGTCTAAATGCTTTTGTCTCTTCCTACAAAACCCACAAGGGTGCAATTTGACTCATTTCACTGAACTCATGTGAACTTATTGATCTCACATGCAAATGATCTTGCAATTCGCACAGTGTGACTGAACTCAATTGATCTCAACTTTTTTATACTGCAGTCCTTGCACTGGCCGATGGGGAGGGAAGCTGAAAACTCCTGGGGAAAATTTAGATTTGCAAAATTGACTGTGTTGGGGACTTTGTTCTAGACCATTATCCTGACAGGCATTTATAAATCTTACGCAGTTAGAATGTGCTAGCCAAGTACTTGTTAATCTGTAGCTAACACCTTTAGACAACGTTTTCACAGGACACGTGCCATGATCTAAAGGTGGACATTTTTAAAATTTTTATCAATTAGAGGGCAGAACAGATTTTTCAGCTTTTTTTTTTTTTGGTCATGCTTATAATTTAGAGGCCTTACAAATTCATGCATCAAACACATAAGCTTATAGGGTTAAAGACCCCCTGTTCTCTGAACTGGAGCATGAAACAATGCATGTGATTCCAGAGGTGTAAAGTATTGGAGTAAATGTAATTAGTTACTGTACTTGAGTATCTTTTCGTGTACTTATTCCAGAAAACAAGCTTATTCTAGTGCATCTTTCAATGTGGGAACATGTGCATGGTCAGCACTGGTGTATGAACTCACACTAAGGAGTGCCTTTGTTTGAATAGTTTCATAGGTTGGCCAGGAGAAAACCTTGAGAACATGAGGGATGTGAAGGATTAGGATCAGGCTTTATGGGGTGAAGTCCATGTGGACGACAAACAAAACAAGAGGAACACAGATGCATTTCTGCATGTGCTGAAGTTGAAGGAAACAGCAAGGTGTGAAAATATCCACTGAGAAAAAATGTATGGTGAAAATTGTAATGAAAAAAAAAGTGGTGTTTGCCATTAAATTTATATGACCCTGCTCTTTGACAAAAGCTTTAACCAAGTAAGAGGCTATTGTTAAAGCTGAATATTGCAAACAATATTTTATACTACAACGGATACACAACCCAACAAAATAAAAATGTTGTTATTATGTACTTAGCCTCATGTCGATCCCTACCTGAATGACTTTCTTTCTTCTGCGGAACACAAAATAAGATATTTTGAAATATAACTTGTAATTGGTATCCCAACAAAATTTATTGGAGCCCACTGATCTAAAATGTATGGACTAAAAAACCCACTGAGACATTTCTCATAATATCTTCTTTTTGTCCAACAGAATAAAGAAAATCATACAGTTTTGGATTAACATGAAGGTGAGTACATTCTAGCAGAATTTTCATTTTTGGGTGGAGTATCCTGTTAAACTTTTATCTATAGTTCTTACACCTGATTAAAGGAAAATGCACTCCACTGCATAAGAATAACAACAACCAGGGACAAAAAAAACAATAAAAATACTGTGTTTTCTTTGTCATCTGTTTACATAGTATATATATATATATATATATATCTGACAGTTTGAGAAGCTGTGGCCAAAAAAAGAAATGAAGGTCTTTAAAAAGAAGTGTACTAATCTCTGTGGAGCACACCCACAAATATATACTACTGAATGCTGTCTGGAGCGCCAAGAGAGGTCAGCCAGGTTAGCCATATCTCATCTTTAGACAGCCTAAATAAATGGATTGGGATTCGAACTATGGCAACACTGCCACTATAAGAGTTACTCAAGACAGGAACTAATTATGCATTATGTAATGGAACTTGTCAAGCATACTGGCAACTGTATGGATACATATGATGCTGAATCACCCCACATGAGAGCAAAGTTCCTTGAGGTCACAATAGAATCTGAGCCAAGAGCTCTCAGTGCTGTAACGTGACATTACCTGCGGCCAACCAATCCTAATACTGCTAATTCGACAAATGTTGGCCACTTATGTTACGCAGATATGCATGGGAAGTAATCCCAAGAACAGCTCAGAAAAGACAGTCTAGAACAAGTCATTTCAAAATAGATACGAATGAACATCAATCATGTACAATAAACGTCTTCTTCAATATCAGACGTCTGGCTAAGTATCTTAAAAACAAAGACCTAAACAGTTAACAGTGATTCCTGAATTAAATTTCCAAACAAAACTGTGATAATGGTAATTAACCTCAGGTTAATAACCTAAACCTAAAAGAGCTACTAAAAATCTGATACTGACAGAATTACATATATATTATTTTTTAAATAAATAAATCCTACTGATTACTTTGTTTTAAAGAAAATTACTATTATTAATAATAAAATCTTTATTTGAAAAAAATATTTTCACAATATAAGTTCTATAATTTTATAACGGAGTTCAATAATGAGGAAGACTAGGAGCCTGTACAACATCATAATGAATAAATTTGGAACGGAATAGATAATGCAATTTTATGCATTGCTTTTATGTAATGACATCATAGACATAAGGTAAAGAAATATTATATTATCTAGATTTTGTTAGCGTAATTACTGTTCCTGCTTTACTTAGCACACCAATACTGTGCTATTATAAACAAGGCTCCTCTTAAAACCTGATGAATGTGAAATTGATGTGATCACACCACACAAATCGAAGGAGCCAAGTACATTATTACATAATAGATTCTCATAATGAATAAAGCTGCTTCCGTAATCACGTCCATCTCATCAAAACAGCACAAAGCCTCTAGGAGCCTATTGTCATCAAGATAACACTGGAACACCATCCCCACTGAAATCAACAATCACAATCATTCCAACACGGCAATGTGACTCGTCTTCTTGTTTTCAGATTATTGGTCAATTAGTACATTTAGCATTAGGTAAAGCTTGTTCATCTTTGGAAATACATCTGCAGAAATTACTGGAGTGTAGTTATAATTAAGTGACAAAATTATTTTTATCCTAATTATTTTAACTAAATTTTAATCCTGTATATCTAACTTTGTTTCTCTTATAGTAGCTGATATTTTAACATAATTAACATCAACATACAGGACATAAAGGATCTAGATTTAAACTTGGATATGCAAAAATAAAGATTAGTCTTTAACAAAATAACACAAACTGAAGAGCCATCCTTACTCAGCAACATTCTAGCTTCATGTAATAATAAGGAATCAAACGGACAAGTAAATACCTAGTTTGTTGAGAGAATATTTATACAACTTTATTATGAGTTCCAATATTTAGAGGAAAACTATTCCAAAAAAATTTACCAGATACCTAATAACATAACATAATGCTATAGGTGTTAAAAACAATTTCACAAATAATGCTTAGAATTATAATTTTTTTCAATATCCTTGACCCCTACTCCCAGATGTTTTTGCTTTAAACAATGTCTCACTACATTCACTACAGTTGCATAAAGCTTTAATTGTTTTTATGGCAAGCATGGGAGGGTTCAACCGAGAAGCCAGATTACAGTGAGGATTTCTACAACCGGATTAACCGTAGATTTAAGAACCTTATTTAGTCACAAGAAGTGAAAATAATCAATAAGCCTGTCTGTAGAGTTGGTATAAAAGGACCTTTGCTCAGTGTAGACAACACAGCCTTGTGGAGAACCACAAAGAGAGATCCTACACCACGGATTCCTTCCTTTCGTTCAGTCCAAACAACAACAAAACAAGCAGGTAAAATCTAGTGTTTTTTCTGTAGGCCCTCTGGGCTATGAGATTAACAAAACTGCAGTCCAAACTGTAATTTCACCTGTTTTGGACTGTAAATTCAGTCCAAAAGCACCTGTGATTTCCTTCTCCATTGCTCAGAATGGAATACTACAAGTTTGCCTTGCTAGTGGTTTTCCTGTCCTACATTGAGCGCTGCTGGTCTTCCTCCTGCGTTGTGGACAGTTTTACAGTCAAGGACAACTTTGACCCCAAGAGAGTATGTAGAATGCAGTTTGATGATTTCAGAGGGGATAAAAGTTGGCTCATTTGTAATCTTAATGTAAAACAGATAGGTTGACCTGACCTGGTGTATTGTATCTTGTAGTATGCAGGCAAATGGTACGCCCAGCAGAAGAAAGACCCGGAGGGACTCTTCCTCCAGGACAACATCTCTGCCGAATACACCATTGATGATGATGGGACCATGACTGCCTCTTCCAAGGGCCGCGTAACTCTTTTCGGGTTAGTGACGAGTCTGAAAGTATGAGTGTAACAATGAAGCATTCAATGATCTTTTGATTCAGAAAGCTTATGACTGCAATAACGTCACATGCTAATACTAATTCTGCTGCTTATACCAGCTAACAGGGAACATTCTCTGAACTTTGGCTAATGTCTGGCAATATTCTCGCAAAGTTATGAACAAACATTCTGCCAGTAACGTTAATAGAATGTTCCTTCAAAGTTATCTGGTCAAAACGTTAGCACAAAAACATTAGTTATACATTGTTTATGGAACGTTTCTTTGTGTAAGATAGTTAAAAGTAATGTTTGCAAAATAATAAAATGGAACATTCCTCTTAATGTTGTCCTTAATGTTCACATAACCAAGAAAAACATTTTTTTAACTTTTAATAAAAACCAGAACTGGACATGTTGATAGTTCAGAGAACATGAAAGCAAGTTTGATAGCAATGACATCACATGCTACTGCTAACCTTAGCCTACTGCTTAAGGCATCTGGGTTGATTCAGAAAACAAGTTTAAATATATGACAGTGATGATTTCTCATGCTAATGCTAATTCTGCTTTATACAGGCTCTTGGTTAATTGAGAAATAAGTCAGTGATGATGTCACATGCTAATGCTAATCCTGCTAACTCTTTACAGATTCTGGGTTGTGTGTGCTGACATGGCTGCCCAGTACAGTATTCCTGACCCTAACACTCCTGGCAAGATGTTCATGAACTATCAGGGTTTGGCTAGCTATCTGTCCAGCGGAGGTCAGAAGACAGATCTGCACCCATTATATCATCTGTACCCATTACTGTCACATGAATCATTTGACTTAGTTTTTATTTGTTTATTCTTCATAAAGGTGACAACTACTGGGTCATTGACACCGACTACGACAACTATGCTATCACCTATGCTTGCCGCACTCTGAATGATGATGGCACATGTGAAGATGGCTATGCCCTGATCTTCTCACGCAACCCCCGTGGCCTGCCTCCTGCAATCCAGCGCATCGTCCGCCAGAAACAGGAAGAGATCTGCATGGCTGGTCAGTTCCAGCCCGTCCTGCAGTCTGGTAAGTTCACAGACAGAAGTCAGACTTTCACTTTAGCTGCAATACAACAAAAGTACTCTTATTAATTTAAGTTAATCATGCACATAAAGATGGAGTTTGGATTTGATTTGTCTGTCTGATCTGTTTTTCCCCATCTCTTATTTTACAGGGGCTTGCTAAGCTGTTAAAGGAAACGAAGAGCATGCTGGGAAAAGAAGCGGCAACCGGGGTAATTCCATTTCAGTGCTGTAGAGATGCATGTGTGCATCAGGGAGACATCAGATCATTGAACTTCTTATCGCAAGAGCAATCTCGTACTGTGTTAAGTGTCTGTGACAATAAATATTTTTTAAACAAAACTTACTTTTGGACATTTTTATGGAATTTATAGTGGTGGGTGGTTGTGCATTGTTTTGCATGTCATTGCATACCATTTGCATATCATTGACATCTTCAGTATCACCGAACATAGAGTGAAAGTCTCATCGATGATGTTTTTACAGATTATTTGAAATTTAAAATATATTAGAATGGATACACATCAGTTTGAATGCCCCATTTGTGTACAAACTGAAAAGGATATATTATATTCCACAGCATATTTACACTGATAACCAATGCCAAGAAGAACAGAATCAATATACAGTATAAATCACAAGGGACAAATACATTTATGTTTTGGAAACATAATAGAGATTATGGGAAAAGTTAATGAGGGCTCGTGAGATCTAAAAAGGTAAAAAATTGGACAGGTGTTGTTTTGCCAGTGGTGTATAAAGTACCTGAAAGCCATACTCAAGTAAATGTACAGATATCTTACCAGAAAAAGACTTTGGTAGAAGTTGAAGTCACCGTTTAGAATATTACTTGAGTAAATGTCTTAAAGTATGTGATATTTATTGTACTTAAGAAAAGTATTTTTTAAATCTTAAACGTACTTAAGTATTGAAAGTAAAAGTACAAGTAAATGCAAAATGGAAAAGAAGCAAATAAATATATATAAAAATTGTTCATACACAGGTTGAGTAGCAAGATTGTGATCAGTTTTAACTCTTTCTTCCATTTTGTATTTTTGGGTAAGAATAAGAAGCACTTCATCCGGTACTTAGTGTCTTTCATTCCAACATAAGAAAACATTTCTGAAATCTGCATCTGAAATAGCATTTAGATGTATTTACACAGTTTATGTATCTCAGAGGGGACATGGATGCATTTAAACTGCAGTTACAGATGCATAAATAGGCCTAATGTTTTGTTTTTAACATAAAATGTTGAATACTGATATTTGAAATAATTTAAAACAAGAAAAAAAATTGTAGAAATGTGAAATTAAAACCGCCAGTAGGTTACAGCAAGTGACGGTTAAAGAGTGAGTCACTGAGATTCAACCAATTCATTCAAACGGCTGATTCATTCAGAAACAAAGCATTTGACTCTGATTGATTTGTTAATGAGTGAATCACTGAATCATTTATTCAACCGATTCGTTCAAAAAGCGGATTCATTCAATAAGTAAACAGTCTGCAGAAAAACTACTCTTTGTGTGATATAGATTAAGTTAACTATATTAAATTATATAAATATAAAAAGCATACAGAAGCATTTTTGCCGTCTACAATTTAGAATGCCTGGAATTTTGAGTTTCAATAGACTAATAAATCACGTGCGTGCACTCTGTGTGTGATCTGGTGATATAGCCAACTTGATAATGTCAGATCGCACATCATTACAACAACACTTACCATATTATCGCAGAAGATATACTGTATATCGCAAACCCCAGACTCGAATTGAGTGGAAAATGAATGATCTGTGGTTGTGTGAGCACTTGTTTGCAGACTTTGCACAGCAAAAGTGTTTTTAGGAGTCTGACTTGCAGACATCAGACCACTGATTCGTCAAACCTGGTTTCCTTCAGTCAGTGTTCTTCTGACTATTTTGTAGTAAGTAACGAATATGCTTCGGGGAAATGTATCAGAGTAAAAGTATACATTTTAATTAGGAAATGTAGTGGAGTAAAAGTAAAAGTTGGCTGAAATATAAAGAATCAAGTAAAGTACGGATACTCCCAAAAAATACTTAAGTACTGTAACGAAGTATTATTACTTCGTTACATTACACCACTGTGTTTTGCCATAAGGAGATCAAGTTATCCACTTACTGTAGTTACTAGGTTTTAGTGATGATAATTTCTTTAAACTGGCATTATACAACTCTTGGTTCCAGGCAAATTAAACACAAACGAAAATTAAATGCATTTTCAGAGAACAGACTAATGTTAAAAAAATTACCATTACATTACAATTACTTACCAAGTATTTATATTATATGTTCCATTGTATACTATTATATGACAAATATATTTGCAGCAGAAAAATATATATTTGCATGTCTTAACAGATTAACAAGATTTTAAGTATATGTTTTAAATGTTTTAAATGAATGTAGCTCAGATTAGCTTAAGAAGAATTTGACAAGAAAATAAAAATATAATTAAATTTAATATAATTAAGTGTAATTAAAATCATAACAGTCAAGAGATTTGTCTGAGGCTTAGAGCAACATTTCTAAGAATATGCCCAATTATAAGAGAACCAAACTTGAGGATTTTCACAGTGATATAAATTAAATAACAAAGTCTATCAATAGATATTAGGCATAATGTTTTCAATGTTATTCGAGCAGTAACACTGTTAATTTACATAGTCAATGCAACAACCTTAAAAGATTCAAAGAAAAAAGGTTGGCGAGTTTATCCAGATCATTATTAAGTTGGGTCATCTGAGGCCTTGCCAATTTATCTACAATAGGTTAATACCTTCTGAAAACTGTTCTTGTTATGACTGCCGATAAGTATTCTCATGCCAGCTGGTGTTTTGGAGACAGAACAGATTGTCTGTACTGAGCCAAGTCTCTGCTGGAGAAAGTCAGGGTTAATGACATAAGGGGCTTTTAAAGCCTGACAATGTACAGTAGGTAAACAAGATGTAGAAAAGTCCAGACTCCAGACTGTGTGACAGTTTTCTGAACTAAATAAAAGAGAGAGAGATTTAAATGAAATCTAGATGTTTACATTTCAAAAACACAGCTCCCTCTTTTGGTTATTTATAACCTGCATCATCATATATACATAACTGAAGTCACAGAAGTTCACTTAACCGGCGACATGCACGTTTTTAGAACATTGTGAAAAATAAATGAGTAATCAGTTAGTGTGATACCCAACCATTCATGAACATTAACAAAGTGGCAGAATGTCAGCAAATATACAGTCATGGCCAAAAGTTTTGGCAGTGACATAAATTGTATGTTTTGCAAAGTTTGCAGCTTAAGCTGTTGTGGTGTTCATTCACATTGTTTCTAGATTATTGTGTAGAGTGATCAGATGCATTTGAAATAATTGCTAAAAGCTTCATTTGCCAAAAAATTTACTTTTCACAAAAAAACAAAAACAATTTTTTTTGATCCTGACACAATGACCAGCTAACATTAATTGACTAGTCATATCAGCAGCACATGTGAAATTATGAATGAGTACTAGTCAGGTTAATCACTATCATACTAATTAGATTGTAAGAGCAGACTGATTGCTATAAAAGGAGGGAAGAAGTGCTTCCAATCATTGTGTTCTTGTTAGCAATGGTTACCTCCAAAGAAACATGTGCAGCCATCATCGCTTTGCATCAAAATGGCCTCACATGCAAGGAAATTGCTACAAAGAATATTGCACCTGAAAAAAACATTTACAGGATCATCAAGAACTTCAAAGAGTGAGGTTCGACTGCAGTGAAGAAGTCTTCAGGACGTCCCAGAGTGTCCAGCAAGCGCCAGGACGGTCTCCTCCTGAGGAGTCAGCTACAGAATCGTGTCAGCAGCAGTGCAGAGCTTGCTCAGGAATGGCAGCAGGTTGGTGTGAGAACATCTGCACGCACCGTGAGGCCAAGACTTTTGGACAACGGCCTGGTGTAAAGAAGGGCAGCAAAGAAGCCACTTCTCTCCAAGAAAAACGTCAAGGACAGACTGAAATTCTGCAGGAAGTACAAGGATTGGACAGCAGAAGACTGGTGCAAAGTTATTTTCTCATTTCTCACGTTAGTATAACATATATGTGATCTAGTATGCTGCCTCACATAAGCGTGCAGTCACATAAGATGTCGCCATCAATAAGATGTTCCCATGAAGAAGTGACTGCAATGACTAGCTTTGTTGGTTGAATCTGAGCTTATTTAAAGATTTCTGTGTAAACCTGTTTGTCTTCTGTTGTAGAACTGATAAGTAAATCATTTTTTTTTCTTACACATGATGGTTATTCCTCAATGGAATAACAAATGTTGCACTACATTCGCAGAATTTTGAATTATACAGTAATTTTCACAAATAGATATGCCATTTGCTGCATCATCACTGCTAAAACTGACCATTTTCAAACAGGTTTCCTCATACACTCCATCCATCTGCCCTTGGTCGGACAAACAGGTAGCCACGCCCCAATCTCACACCATTGGCTGAGCTGTTGTCTGGCAGATCGGATGCTCAAACAAACAGAGCAATGTATTGACAGCAACACAGAGCCACAGGCACAAACAGTGCTACACTTTTAAGGGAAACAACCTACACGTTTTATATTAAAATGGGCTGCCTAAGACAATTAATAGAAAGCAACAATACAAAACACAACACACTTAACATTTAAATATAGTATTTGCACAGGTATATCTATGTCTATATAGATAATCGGCAGATTTATGCTAGTCCGGTTCAAACATAAAATCAAATTCCAGTGCAACTGTATAAAAAAAGCAAATGTCTATTTTTTTCCCCATGTGGCTCATAGTGCACTATACTCTCAGATGCTTTCAACCACATATAAGTTCAGTGATACTAAGTAGAGACTGTGGGTGGCACTGTTTCTATGGTGATCAGCCCACAGACCATCCCCCCCCCCCCCCCACCTCTATCTCCATCTGTCTGATTGGTTGCTGAGGGTTAAGAAAGCGGAGCAACATCTTTACCCACAATCCTTTGCTCTATTCAGACAGTCAAGCTAATGCGCACCGGGAAATTCAGCAGTGAAGGCATGGCAAATATATTCTCCATTCTATTCATCCACTCCTATGACAAGGGTGAGTCCCTGTTTCCCAAAATATTCATCCTCAGTCTTTATATGGTGGTGGGCTTCCTCTTATACAAATTTTTTATATTAGTAGTATGAAATCACAAGAATATTTAATAGAAAATGAAGATAAAGCAACATGCCATTTGGCACATTCATGTCATGTAATTTATTTTATGACATCGTTTTAGGATTTTAGACACTTTAGAAATTATCATATGACACTGAACTGGTAAACAATTCATTTCTACATATTATCTAAACTCATACTGCCCTACTACTATTAAGCCATATCTTACACAAGACCTCAGTTTGCCAAGGATTCTATTTGAAGGTCTATATGGGGAAGTCGTGGCCTAATGGTTAGAGAGTCGGTCTCGGAACCCAAAGGTTGCGGGTTACGAGTAGGTGGGGGGAGTGAATGTACAGCGCTCTTTCCCACCTTCAATACCACGACTGAGGTGCCCTTGAGCAAGGCACCGAACCCCCAACTGCTCCCCGCGCGCCACAGCAAAAAAATGGCTGCCACCGAACCCCCAACTGCTCCCCGGGCGCCACAGCAAAAAAATGGCTGCCCACTGCTCCGGGTGTGTGCTCACGGTGTGTGTGTGTTCACTGCTGTTGTGTGCACTTTGGATGGGATAAATGCAGAGCACTAATTCCGAGTATGGGTCACCATACTTGGCCACATGTCACGTCACTTTCACTTTCACTGTTTGTCATTCACTCATATCACTAATAAAGGACTCATAACTGATGCATTTCATATAAAGTGGGCCAAGATCTCGGTCTATACAACCTGCCAGACTTGATAACAACAACTGTACTGTATGTCTGCAGTTAGGAGGACAGTACAGAAAGGACATTATTCTTAACCACACAGTCATTATTCTACCAGATGACGGAGGCTCACAGTTCATTGAATAAACTGAGAGATTGCCTGAACTGGCCCTTTGTTATTTATTGACACAATAATAATGTAAATGAATGGAAACACACACCCACATATACAGTACACACAGACAACAATATGGGACAAATCATACTATACAATACCCAGAGCCCAGATATATATACTGTATATATATACACACACACACACACACACACATATATATATATATATATAGCCAGTATATCACTCATTTAACTAGTTCAGATAAAACATTGATTCTATTTTCTTTATTTTCTTGGAACAATCTGATGTGTGAAATACTTTTGCTCAGTTTGAGAAGAACCAGTAAAGCTTGACTCCTTGCGCCTTGCCAGGTTGTCCTGCTATTGCATATTTTTAATACCCATCTGTATAATATTGCTTTTTAATATTTTATTTAAAACGGGCTAAAATAATTGAGAGAAAACATTCACACACTTTACAATCAATTTTAGTATATTTACTTCAATGCATAAATCTTAAAACAAGTATTATGTCAGTCTTATGTTATGCTGTAAATATAAAATCAAATTCCAGTGCAAAAAGTATAACAAAGCAAATGCCTTTTAATTTCTTCTCATGTGGCTCATGTTGCACTACATAGTCCAGTCTATAATTCATTTAAGTAGTGCACTGCAGATGAAACTTATTTTAATTGTATTTCGTATCATGATCTAATGTGTGAACTGGTTTTGCTCCATCTAATAAGAACCAGTAAAAGATTGACTCTTTACGCCTTATTATCAGAATGCCCTGCTATTGCTCAATGCAGAGCATTACAAACTAGCATATGTTTAACCCAGGAGGGACACAACACTTCCGCCTTCTGTTCTTACAGCCTATGAAAACGTATGTCAGAAAGGGGGACTGCCTGAAGGTTTTTGCATACTGAAGCATGGACTTACACCATTGCTTTTCATTTAGATGCTGGGAGGCGGGGTATAGAGAGGTTAGTGAATAAATCTAAGCAGTTCTGTTCATTTTATAGCTTGTCCCTTTAAGAGATCACTTATTCAGGTGAGTGTTGTATTTAATAGTTGGTCATTTAGATTGTTATTTCTGTCTTAAAATTCAAAAAACACACCGAGCATACATCTACTTTACCAGAAGGACAACTGTAGAAGAAAACAAAATAGTTTACTGATGTTAATACCAGTTCAAATATAGACCTATAATCTTTCTGAGACGCCATCATGGTAAATGGTCTCATATCCAAGCGGTGACTTTATGACCCTCCAATAAAAAGGCAATTAGGAGATAAATAGCATGCATGCGTAGTTTGCTTTGATTAGAGACCAATGTCTTTCATTGTCAAGGACAGGCACGTCCAAACCTACAGCAGATGCCTGCCACATTGACATGAAGAGGAATTAATGGGACAAGGAATCAAAAAGAAATGTTTGGTGAGATTTAGTAACTGGGCAGTTTTACTCAGGAATTGCTTTGAAGAGCCCCACTGCTAAGCACACAGATGTGTATGTTGTGCCACATACAGTACATCTGTACTTGTAATTTGTGGAGTTTTAATAATGATTATAAAACGTTGGGGACTTTAACATCATTACCATCATATATAGCTGTATTAGTCCTATTAATAATGACCTGAGATGTAGGTGAGATGTAAGATCAAGCTTTTGTTTCCTGGTTTCTCTCTAGCTGCAGATCAAACAGCTTTAAAGGCTTTGATAAGAGAAGTATGTGAGAATCATTTCTAATGATTGGTAAACGCTGTCCCTAAACCCTCTCAAATACTGATTGATGTGTAACCTTTGATAATCGTGTTAACTTGCATGACTAATTATTGACTTGTTCCTACAGAAACAGCTAAAAAAAAGAGAAAACACAGAAACTGTTGTCCATTCACACTCGCTCCAAGCACAATGATTAATCAGTTACCCCTATTTAACAGACATCCAGTTTGATCTTCAAAGGAGATCACTTACTGATCAAAGGTCTTTCTCCCTTTTTCAGGAGCTGTCTTAAAAGCCCCATCAGTGCATGGGTCCCTCATCACTGGAAGCCATGGAGGACCTAAACTCTGTGACTGTGGGCACACTAAAGCGTAGAGTACGACAGAGGAAACGGATTCATGAGATTATCAGGACCAAGTTGCAGCGAAACCTCTCCTGCTCAGGATCTAAACTGAAGAGCACTCTAACAGGCTTCTTCCCCGTAGTGAAATGGCTTCCCAAGTACAAGGTGAAGGACTATATATGGGGAGATCTGATGTCTGGGCTCATAGTTGGCATCATATTGATCCCTCAAGCCATTGCGTACTGCCAGGTAGGTACACATTGTTAAATCACATCTGAAAATCTCCACGCAAAGATGTAAGTGCTGTAACAAGTAAAATATTTTAATTTAAATAATGTGAGTGAGAGATTCAAAGGCATGAATGGTGTAGGGGACCAAAAAAACTGTACCTTGAAACGCAATTGTACATTCCCTGAAATGTGCCGTCGTCACACAATTAAACCTGTACAAGGAATCATGGGACCGAGTGCCCATAAGTTGTATTCTTCAAAATCTTTTCAAAGTGTCCTCTGAAGTGGCCCATTTTGAGCACTTTGGTTTGGAACAACCCTTCAGCATAGCGGCCATGATTGTTTTTACTTCTAAGTGCCCTTTGGAGATGGATTTATCGCATTTGGAAGACAGCGAACACCATCTTCCAAATGAATATTAATATTTTTTTATTATTATTACATTTTTAAGCCCCCTAAAAATATCAACATTACTTTTAATACAGAAATTAAAAACATGATCGTCATAAAAATTATTGTACGTGCATTTTTATTATATTTATAAATAAATACATAGTACAGAAAAAAATGAATGTCATGTCCTTGACTGAAAAGTGTATTGTATGTTCTCCTCAGGTGCTGATGGCCGTTCTCAGGCTGGGGTTTGTCTCCGTTTATCTGTCTGTTCCTATGCTTGATGGCTTTGCCACTGGGGCATCTTGCACTATCCTCACTGTCCAAGCAAAGTACCTGCTTGGCCTTAAGATCCCTCGACACCAAGGCTACGGCACTGTGGTGGTCACTTGGATCAACATCTTTAAGAACATCCACAAAACCAACTTCTGTGATTTAATAACAAGTGCCATTTGCATCATAGTGCTGGTTGCAGGAAAAGAGATCCAGGATCGCTATAAGGACCGTTTGAAGATACCACTGCCCACAGAACTTGTGGTAGTGGCAGTTGCCACAATAGTCTCCCACTTTGCTGATCTAAACGGACAGTTTAGCTCCAGTATCTCAGGTGCCATTCCAACCGGTTTCATTCCTCCAAAGGTGCCCAGTATTGAACTGATGCCCCGTGTAGCATGTAATGCCATTCCATTAGCTGTCATCAGTTTTGCTTTTACCGTTTCTCTGTCTGAGATGTTTGCTAAAAAGAATGGTTACACAGTTAGGCCCAACCAAGAAATGATAGCAATTGGGTTTTGCAATGTAATTCCTTCATTTTTCCATTCTTTCACTACAAGTGCCGCCCTTGCGAAAACTATGGTGAAGGACTCAACAGGTTGCCAGACTTAGGTCTCCAGTGTAGTTAGTGCCTTAGTGGTTCTTCTGGTCCTTCTTTTCTTTGCACCATTTTTCTACGCCCTGCAGAAATGTGTCCTCGCCTGCATCATCATCGTCAGTCTGCGGGGTGCCCTGCGCAAATTTCGAGACGTCCCTACGCAATGGCGTGAAAGCAAGATTGAGGCAATTGTCTGGTTGGTGACCATGAGCTCAACTGCTTTAATTAGCGTGGAGCTTGGGTTGCTGATTGGTGTGGTCTTCTCTGTGATCTGTGTGGTGGGCCAGACTCAGAATCCTAAAGTTTCGTTACTGAGACAAATTGAACAAACCAATGACTTTGAGGACATGGAAGAGTATGATAATCTTTTACCTGTTCCAAAAGTGAAGATCTTCCATTTCAGGTGCCTCTTTTCTATGCCAACAAAGACTTCTTTTTAAAATCTTTATATAAAGCAACTGCTCTTGAGCCATTCCTTGAAATAACCCGCAGAAGAAAACTGGAGAAAAAAGCTAGAGGAGATGCAGGGAAGAAGACAGATAGAGTAAATGAAACAAATGGAGATGTAAATGTAAACTTGATTTAAAAAAAACATTGATTTTCATACTATCATCTTAGATTGCTCCTGCATTTCCATAATAGACACAGCAGGAGTGAGTACCTTCAAAACGGTTTTAAAAGACTATAAAGAAGTTGGCGTGAATGTAATTCTAGCTTGCTGCAACACACCAGTAATAGATTCTTTAAGGAGAGGCTCTTTCTTTGGGGCTGCTGACAAAGACATGGAACAACTGTCATTTCATACTATCCACAGTGCTGTTTGTTTTGCTACTTGTACGACACAACCGGTTAATGACTCGTCTGTGTAATGTGTCCACAAATGGCCTTCAAGAGCTGAAAAGCATATTTTCTATTAAAACATATGAAACAGGATATTCAGCTCCTAGAAAATGATGAATGTTGAATACGTTTATAAAATCAACATGATGAAGGAAAAAAAAATCCACTCCTGTTTGAGTTAGAACTGAATATGAATATTTTGAATATTCTGCTACTGTACAAACTCAGGGGTTATTATTATACACACTGGAAGACAAACCTGCATTTATGCTTCATATTAAGTTTTTTTTTTTTTTTTTTTTTGCGACCAAAAAGTAACTCAAAGAAACTCAAATAACTACATAATTATGTTTGGTGACATATTTCTCACACACTAATCCTCAGAAATTAATTTAATACCATTTTAAATGTAAAATATACAAGAAGACGGATCATTTCCTGTGTGACTGGTGAAAAACTTGCCCTTAATTGCCAGAAAAAATATCTCCACACATCAACAAATAACACAGGACAATGAGAAGACAATACAGATCTGTGATTTTAAGTTGCCTGTCATACTGCCTTGTAAATGTGAAAATGTTTTTTATGGTGTTCTTGATGAAATAAAGGTTAAGGGTGAATTTCACCTGGAGATGTGATTATATTTTAAACCAGTGTCAATAACTTGTATTTGGACTCCATTTGGATACACTTGTTTCCTCAAGATTCATGCTTGTTTTCAGCTTCATAGGCCTACATTAGGGTGACCATACGTGCCATTTTCCCAGGACGCGTCCTGGCCAGGATTTGTTTTGGCTTTGTTTTCCTGTTTTCATGCTTGCTGAAGGTAATGATCGAAAAGTAGTTTGACCAATAACATGCAAGCATTGTACATAATGGACCAATCATGGCGTGTGAGAAGGTGGGATCTACGGTCAAAGCGATGCAATTACGCGTACATATTAGGTGTGTTCGACTTAAAAGCAGTGTGGCTCAGACCGATCAGTGTTTGACATCAAAGTACCTCGAGAGCGTTTCGAAAGCATAACCGTCTGTATGGTACTTTGATGTCATACACCGATCGGTCTGCACACGCAAACAAAGCCAAAACCTAGATATTTTAGGCAATATAGAAATCCTGGCCAGGACGCGTCCTGGGAAAATGGCACGTATGGTCACCCTAGCCTACATGATATTGTATAACCCACCATATTCATGTTTTACATACTTGGTTATGATGATTACATTGCAAAAACATTTTAATTTGAGTTCTTTTTAACAAACTTTAGCCAATTGTGCTTTTTGGTTTCAGTTCACTGATTGTAGGCTACTGTTTACAACATAGTTTGAGATCAAACAATAGGTAATTGGTGGACCACCTGCAGACCTCCAGTTAAACCCCCTGTTGTAAAGGAACAATTGCCCATGTTTTTGCCAAGAAAAACACACATGCAGTGGTGGTATTACAGCTTACTGTACCTCAGTTGAAGATACTCCACAGATTTCAGATTTTGTTGTTAGTATCTCCATGGTTCACCATTTGTGTCAGTTCTGCAACACAAGCGCTGATTCTTATCTTTTATGTTTAGTGGAGCAAATTATTCCAATAATTTATCGCACTATTATCCTAAAGAATAACCGTCGTTATCACAAATCAGTACGGAACGTGTTTGATTATGATAATGAAATTTCGCTCCGGGACGCGTAGTGGCGCACTACTCGTGACGTTACATGAGTCTTTTTTCACGCTGCATGCAGTGAAGAAGACAAGAAGACGTCAGCTGCGATTCAAATTTTACCGCTCGTAGGCTGCAGAGCTGGACGACCGGTATTTATTGTCATACGTCATTTATTTATTGTCATTTAGTTTATCGACAGAGTTGTGCATTAGTACGGTACAACGATGACTTGTCGCAGAAGGTAAGTGTGTATAGTGTAAGTGGAGACTGTTAAACAGCCAAACCAGCGCGAGATTAAATTATATTATGGCCGTGTCTCATCTTGTGTATATCGTGGCTGGCAATACAAATCACATGCTAGTTACATAACGTTACATTACCTCTTTTTGGTTATACAGCGAGTTTTACTGACTCTGTAGTAATTTTAAGTAGCTAAACGTATTTTATTACTCGTGTCTAAAGTCTTGCTGATCTGTTTTGTTGTCGTGAGCCTTATTTAGGTGTTCATATGATCAGTGTTGGGGAGTAACTAGTTACATGTAACGGAATTACGTAATTTAATTAAAGAATAAATGTAACCGTAATCTGTTACAGTTACAGAGAAAAAAATTGTAATTAATTACAGTTACTTATGAAAATCTGAATATTTTCACACACACACACACACACACGCTCACGCACAGATTTAATTGATTTCTTTCCCAAATTGCATTGACTGCTCTAAAATATGATACACAAACGTTTCAGGAGTTGAGGACACAGAATAGGACACATTCTTATTCAATAACGGTTTTATTTCCTATTTGGGTTTATGTATATACTTTATTTTTTTAGGATTGGTGTTTCCTGTCATAGCTATGCAAGGATTTGATGTCAAAAACAGTATCATAGCTATTAAACTATATCTTGTTATGATTTAAAATCGGCATTTAACCTCAGAACGATCTCAAAGTAAAGTTTTTGTGGTGGCTGTGCTTTAAAATGTAATTATTATAATCTTAATTCAAGTGATGAAGGATTTTGAAAGTCTGACATTAATCAGTGTTGAGTGCTACTGTAAGGTTAACCCTGCCTGCTTTAAATGTTTGAAAATGAATAACAGTTGAAACATTCATTAGAAATTTAGAAAATTAATGACATGTGATAAGTTACATTACTTTATTAAAGTAATTGAAATAGATGCACTACTTATTACATTTTAAATAGGGTAACTTGTAATCTGTAACCTTTTACATTTCCAAAATAACCTTCCCAACACTGCATATGATGATATTAAAGGCATAGTTCAGCCAAAAATAAATATTATAATAATAAAACATTCTATCATCATTTTGCTCACCCTCATGTTGGTCCAAAACTGTATGACATTCTTTCAAAAGCAGATGTGTCTTAGTCACCATTCACTTTCATTGTATGCCAAAAAGATGCAGTGAAATTGAATGGAGGCTGACACTCTAGTACAAACACCTCAAGATTCATCAGTATTTATTTAATCTCATTTATTTCCTTATGTTTTCATGAGCAGTGAAGCTCTGGCATTCTCTCTGGTAACTGAGATCAATCATGCCATGGCCAAGCTTGTGGACATATGGGACAGTATCGGCATCATGGAGGACCAGAGGGTAGAACGAATGCAAACTGTGAAAAAACATATAGATGTAAATTATGCCTTTGAATGCCTTGCATCTCTCACCAATTTCTGCTTGCTGCTTACTCTGAATTAAACATGTTCTCTAGGGGCTTTTGCATTCAATGATCAAGGAGGAAGAGGCCTTAAGACATTGCATCAAAACCAATATCATTACCTCCCAGAAACAATTGGATACACTGTGCTTGGAACTGGGACTGGAACCATACAAAGTAAGACCTGTGAAGTATTGTCTTTTAATGAACATTAGTGAAATACTGTGAAATTTTTATATAAAAATTGGTGCACCAAATAAGTTTTTAAAGTTACAAAAGATCTTTCAGATCACCTTTAAAAATCTTATTTTATTTAACATTTAGCTACCTTATTTAGTTTTGTTAAAATAACAAAATCACACACATCAGACATTTAAAATTATTGGTGCATGTCGAAAATTTTGATCAGTTTTTTCTTTCTAAGAATTTTGACCCTAATTATGGAAAGCTCCAGGCTCCAGTTTTTCTCATTTTTATCCTGCAATCTTTTATAGTTGGAGGAAGACCTTACAGTTCTCCAGATGGAGAAGAACCTGCAGTGCCGTGTTGAATCTCTTCTAAAGGAGAAGAATGAACGCTTAAGAGAGCTGAGTGATTTGAAGAAGCAGGATGAGGAGTTGTGCGTGACTTTGTGTGCTACGCCATATTACATTCCATCGGGAAGTGTGCCTTCTCGAACCCAGCTGCAGGAACTCCAGGAGCATGTTAAGAAACTCGGCAATGAAAAAGTATCTATCCTTTTTCTTTTTGGAAGTGTTCTGATCGCTCATGAGTTTCTGTCCTGGATGCTTTTGTGACTTAAGCTCTCTGTTTGTAGGAGAGCAGGGTGAAGGTGTTCTCTGGGCTCAGGCAGGACATCAGGAGCCTGATGGATGAGATGGGACATGAACCAGAGAGCAGCCTAGAACGAGAGTCTATCTGCCCTGACAGTGATATTTTTCTGCTCACGCATGATAATATCAAAGCCTTGAAACTGCTGCTCAGCCAGGTGCTAAACTTTAATCTTTTTAAAAATTTTTTATAAAAAACAAGCAAACAGTAGTTTCAGTTTTGTAAATGTAATCCATTCAGATGAAAAACAAATTCATCCATTGAAATATTCCTTTAATTGTAGTTATTCACTCATAAATTAATCATAATAAATTGAGTAGATTTAAATATTTTATGGATTACCAGTCCTGTTTAAAACCATTAAACTCAAAAACAGATTCTTTGCTAATGGACAAGGGCTTTAACTTCATTCTGGTTGAACAGATCACTACACCGAGGAGCTGCTGTCCCTCCATGACAACGAGCTGCTAAGAATGAAGGCTTTCTATGAGGCAGCACAGCCCATACTGGAGGACTTGGAGAAATGGAAGAGGAACTGGGCTCTCTTTCAAGAGTTTGAGGTTCTCACAGGCATCTCCCAAGTCCCATGTTTAAAGTGAACTTAACCTTTGGTTTCACCTGTGTCATTTTGTTCTATATGTTTTGCTTACCAGAGAAAGGCTGTGGATCCAAATCGCTTCAGTAACAGAGGAGGGTCTCTGCTCAAAGAGAGTAAGGACAGGGCCAAAGTGCAGAAACTGCTCCCAAAGGTAGTCACACATTTGCTGTTAGTTAAAGGATTTTTTTTTTTGACCTTGTAATTTTTAATCTTAGTATAATAATTAAATTTTCCGTTGAAACAACAGACCTCTCCAGTCATTTTTAGATTGGAAGAAAAAAATTCTGTTTTTGCGACTTCAGGTGATCTATTCCTATGGTAAACAAGTTGTGAACGGCAAAAATGTGTCTGATGTCAATTTGCCTGTGTATTTCTACACAAACAGCTGGAAGAGGAGTTAAGAAGCCGTGTGGAAGTTTGGGAAAAGAATCAGGGGACTTTTCTTGTGCAAGGTCAGAGGATCATGAATTACATTTACAGCCAGTGGGAAGAGCATCGCTTGCAGAAAGACAAGGAGAAGAATGAACGGGTGACTTTTATTTTACGTTGATATATTTACATACACTGAACAAAATTATAAACGCAACACTTTTGTTTTTGCCCCCATTTTTCATGAGCTGAACTCAAAGATCTAAGACTTTTTCTATGTACACAAAAGGCCTATTTCTCTCAAATATTGTTCACAAATCTGTCTAACTAAGTGTTAGTGAGCACTTCTCCTTTGCCAAGATAATCCATCCACCTCACAGGTGAGGCATATCAAGATGCTGATTAGACAACATGATTATTGCACAGGTGTGCCTTAAGCTGCCCACAATAAAAGGCCACTCTAAAATGTGAGCCTAAGGCACACCTGTGCAATAATCATGCTGTCTAATCAGCATCTTGATATGCCACACCTGTGAGGTGGATGGATTATCTCGGCAAAGGAGAAGTGCTCACTAACACAGATTTAGACAGATTTGTGAACAATATTTGAGAGAAATAGGCCTTTTGTGTACATAGAAAAAGTCTTAGATCTTTGAGTTCAGATCATGAAAAATGGGGGCAAAAACAAAAGTGTTGCGTTTATAATTTTGTTCAGTGTACATTGTTCAGGAACGTTATTAAAGATTTCACTAACCTGTGCCTTCCAGATGACAAAGATAACCGAAACCTCTCAGTTTAAAACTCCAACAAAGAGAGCCCTCGGATCGACATATACCACCCCCACCCCTAACAAAATTAAAAAGGTATCTGTTTTCTCACTAAGCATGGTGTGCAAAAACAAACATTTATCAAAACGCGTAATCATCTTCCAATTGTTTCAGATGCCCAATATGCTGGCACCTCGCACTGCCACCGTGAGCAGCACCAGTAGCGCCAGCAGCAGCAGCGGCTCATCCACCACATTTGTGTGTGTGCCAGGAAGACCTCAACTCTCTGCCAAGGTTAAAACCATCTGCCTGGGGCATTCCAAACTCAATTCAACTCTGTGATCAAAGCTTTTGGCTTGAGATCAGTCCAAAAAGGATTGCAGGGCTTAAAGTTCTCCGGCACCATGCCGGATCTCCGGTGTGCAGCGTTTGGCTGCGGAAAAAATAATCCTACATTTAAAAAAAAAAACTTGTGGATATCACTTTCGAGTCCACGAGTTCGCCTACCAATGGTGTGAGAGAAGCACAGCTTTCACTCTCATCCAAACTAACATTACCAGCCAATCAGAATATTTTGCTCTTATAAACACGAGACGCGCATCGCAGCCCTGATGAATGGAGAAGCGCGACAAAAAGCTGCGAGGCGCAATGGTCAAAGATGTCCATATAGCGCATAGGCCTATTTACATAGAAAAACTAATTAAAAAGCAGCGGAGCTTTGTAAACAGCTCAGAGTAATCACGTCATCTCCATAAGAACGATATGATTGCCAGATCAAATTTACCGGGATTTTTGAAAAGGTACTGTTCACACATGATCTCTATCTCTTAATGGTAACTTACCGGTAATTTACCAGTGAAAACTGTATGTGTGATGTCACTCTTCCTCTGCATTTGCTGTGAATTTGAAATGCTTAACGTTCATCTGGGAAAACAGTGTGCATTATCTCACTAGATTTGTAACGTAAATCATTTAAACCTTTGCCAATACAGGAGAATACATCAACAAAATGAATTAAATAGAAAACAGCTGTTTTAAATGGGAATAAAACTTCACAATAATACTGTTACTTTGTTACTGTATCTTGGTGGTCATAAGAGACAGTAAAAAAAAAAAAAACTTACTGACTCCAAACTTTTGAGTGGTTATGTGTATTGTGAGTGGGTGTCAAAGCAGTACTTCAGAGAACTTTGCATTATTTTTTGTAAGGTTGGTTGTCACTGGCAGAGCATAAACATCTGTTGTGTGGCTCATGATGGAATAGCTGCTTTAAAACTTTGTTTGAAATCATCTTCACATTTGTTTCACAAATGGATAGTAATTTAGATCTTTGATGGTCAAGTCTGAATTTTTGAGTGGCACTCGATGCCTCGACATGTAATTGGCTCATTTGGGCAAAACAATGTAATGGCCTGATCAAGCTAATGCTTTCAAAGCCATATGAAGCATTACAAAATTAAAATAACTGATCATTTAGCTGTCTCCTAGGAATCTCCATCTAGCTGCCTGGAGCACAAGGGAAAGAACAATGGCACATCAATCAAACAGCAGCTTTTATGCAATAGATGAGAAGTGCCAAACACATGCAGTATGGAGTAACAATGTAGTTTTATGAAACTGACAAGTTTTTTATTTTTTTATCATCCAGATACACTGTACATTAACACCGTGATACAATAAAAGTACAAATGTCACACAGTGACAAGCCACTGCTTCTTTTCACAGAAGTCAAAACTGTACATGTACAACATAAATACATTGATTAATAAAGAGGGAGTATCAAAATCAGCATTTGAGATTCAATGGATGCAAGAATATCTGCATGCTTAATTGACAAGCCGTTTGCACCTGTCTGCTGAGCAGTATACATTTGTCATTGTTAGCCTTTACAGCTGAAGCAGAAATGCTCCTCCTACCTTGAAAGATGAGAACGACTACATAAAGAGCAATAGGTTGACAACTCCATATAGCTGAAGAATAAGAAGAGTTTGTTTCTTCATCAAAACAGATTTGGAGAAATGTAGCATTATATCACTTGCTCACCAATGGATCCTCTGCAGTGAATGGGTGCCGTCAAAATGAGAGTCCAAACAGCTGATAAAAACATCACAATAATCCACAAGTAATCCATACGACTCCAGTCCATCAATTAACATCTTGTGAAGTGAAAAGCTGCATGTTTGTAAGAGACAAATCCATCTTTAAGATGTTTTTAACTTCAAACTGCTGTTTCTGGCTAAAACACGTGTCCTGAAGGGCCGGTGTCCTGCTAGCTCCAACCAGCTCTAAAACACACGCCTGGAAGTTTTTAGTAATCCCTGAAGACCCTGACTAGCTGGTTCAAGTGTGTTTAAATAGGGTTGGAGCTAAACTTCGAAGACCAGTGGTCCTCCAGGAACTGAATTTGACACCCCTGGGCTAAAATACAAGTCCTCTATCCAAGCACTGTTTACTGATTATTATGGATTATGGATGTTTTTGGCCAGAAGCGATGATGATGGATTTGTTTTTTAAATGTGCAGATTTTCGCTTCACAAGACATTAATTGATGGACTGGATTCATGTGGATTTTTATCAGCTGTTTGACTCATTTTACGGCACCCATTCACTGCACAGGATCCATTTGTGAGCAAGTGATGGTCTTCTTGGAAGGCCTGAGGGTGAAAAAATATTGAGCAATTTTCATTTTTAGGTGAACTAATTCTTTTAAAGTGTATTTTCTTTGCCATCTTTTCCTTTGTTGTGCTTTTACCCAAAACTTTACCCATCTCCTTGAACATTCCTGGACATTTTATCTGGTTGCATTTGTGAATATAGGCTGTCTGATAAAATACTTGCATGATAACATCATTCTTACATAATGTATAAGTTCTGCAAAATAGGCCTATAAACAATCTTTGTGATTTGGTACTTATCAAAAGGAAACTGCAATGAAGTCTCTTGATTTGACACATATTTCCTATGTAGGCTGTTGTCTGTATGTTCTCATCAGGCTACATCTGTAGGCACTTGAACTCTTGGCTATGATGCACCAACAGACTCCCGAGATTCCAGCTCGCATGACAGAAATCGGTTGGAATTATCGCTGTACCTTCGGTTTTGAAGAAATGACAATCTGAAGAAAAAAAAAAAAAAAAACAGAAAACATACATTTATATTCTGCTTTGTTGGAAAGAAGCGAAGAAGCTTTCTTGGAAAAAAGCAAATGCAGCTTAATGCAAATTTCTTTCTCCTTTTATTGCTGTAGGTTTTCTAAGAAAAAGAATATATACTGTTAATGCCAATGGACAGTGAATAAAAACAGATGAGCAGGATAATGCAAATCAGAAGAAAAGACAGAAACAGACCAGACACAATCAGAGCAACAGATTCTTTGAACATATATAGCCTTATGGATTGTTTATGGACTGACTTTGGATGTGACATGCAATCTCTAAATATCCCTGTTATGATGTCTTAGAAACATCAAAAGTTATTCCTTAATGGATTCAATTTGTCAGTACACTTTTTTTAACTGTTCTTAGATTTGTTTTAGCTTTCGAGAACTATGGTTTCAAAGGATCTCTCTTAATGGTTTTTATTTAAAAAAAAACTCAAGCAAACCATGACATGCATTCCTCCAAATTTAGACATCCATTAACATCTAATTAAACCATGTTGAAGAGTTTTTGCACAATCATGGTGCACATCCATTAAGAGAGTCAAAAAGAAAACTTTCACAATGCTCAGTTCTGTGTTACAGTTGCCATTTAGATGACATCTGTGACTAATTATTAATTTTAATAAATGTAGATTTCATCCAAAACTCCTAATAGGGTTGATTTACCTGAATTTTTAATGTTTTGCTAATATGGAATACATACAATATTGCTCAAAAGTTGTAATGTTTTTTTTTTTAGGTCTCTTATTTATTTGAATAAAACACAGTAAAAACAGTAAAATTGTGATCTTTTATTACAATTTAAAATAATTGTTTTCTATTTTTATATGTTTTAAATGTAATTTACTCCTGTAATGGCAAAACTGAATTTTCAGTGTCACATGATCCTTCAGAAATCATCAAATATGTTCATTTGGTGCTCAAGAAACATTTCTTATTATTATCAATGCTGAAAACAGTTGTGCTGCTTAATTTTTTTTTTTTTGTGGAAACTGATACATTTTCAGGATTCTTTGATGAATAAAAAGTAAAAAAAAAATATATATATATATTACTCCAGTATAAAGTGTCACATGATCTTCAGAAATCATAATAACATGCTGATTTATTATTAGAATTATCAATGTTTTTTTTTTTAAACTGATACATTTTCAGGATTCTTTGATGAATAAAAAGTTTAAAAGAACAGCATTTTTAATGTGTCCTTGCTGAATAAAAATATTAATTTCTTCATAAAGAAAAATTGTAATGCAACTCAAGACAAGTTCATTGTCATAGATTAAACTAACTGTTCTAAATCTTGATTTGTCTGAAGTATGTTGTATGCTGTCCACCTGTCTATACTCCATATTAATATCTGATTTGTAAAGCCCTTGCAGACATCAAAAATAGAAACAGCAGTAAGTGTGTTCACATGGGCTTTAAAAAATTGCTTTCAGTATTCCGACTACAGCTAAAAGTTAAAAAGGTCATTTCTGGCACTGTTTGCAACTACTGTGCAAATGTTACATCGTCTTATATTAATGAGCCAAGCTAGCAAGGTTTATTATGTGTCCCTTTCACTTTCCATATCGTTCCTACATCTCCGGTTGAATGACTGTAGACCGGTGCTTAATGTTAAAAAAGAAAACATCATCAAGGAGGAGCAGAATGTGGGGCAGAAACTCTAAAACTAGCACTTGATCTGCATTATCTCAGCACTACAGCAGGTTTTGGTGAACCTAAGCTCACTGCAGATCTTCTTAGGATGAAACTTCACACTATCATGCATTTAAGCTGAGCAGTAAAACTCTTCATCACGGACAGCATAAGTGTCACATCCCATTTGTCTTGCATGAATAGGGCTCTACTGAGTTCTGTCCTCAGCATGTTGTTCATTTAACCATGATACAGCACAACAACAGCTGTTTGGTGGAGTGAAACAGCTGAAAGAATGTGTCTTGGGTTCAAGTATGCTGGGGGAGTATAGTGTGATTGACTCATGTGAGTTGCACTGGAGCGAATCTTGGCTGAGGGTCGGCAGGGTAAGACCGAGGAATTCTCAGCCTGACTGTCACAAAAGCCACAAACTCACTAAGTTCCTCATCACTTTCTCATCTCTCCGACTGGCTTTTCCTTCCTTCTTAAAATTTGACACAAGACTTGACCTCTCAGTTTATTGCACAAGTAAATGCAAATTTTGTTAAAGGGATAGTTC